ATACTCAAGTATCTAGTTATTAGGTACATCTAATTGTTACCATCTTTTTTTACTATCTCACTTCATTAAAATTTATGAGATATTTTGCTAAAAGAATAAAAGTGCAGAAGTCCTGAATACAGTACTTTCCAAAAAGACTGTATTTTTAAAGAACTTTAACCCAGTAAACATGCCCTTGTTAGTAGAGCGGTGTGTGAACCTGCTGTTGTTGGGGTCAGTATTGTGCCAGTTGAGGCCACTGGCACTGATGAATCAGGACTTTTATCTGCATGAATGGAATAAAGACCCCTGGCACGATGGCAGAAGCAGACAATGCCCGCTGATTAGAATAACAAAAGGTGGAGTCTCGTGACTTCAGATCAAGGTTTATAAACAGCTCTGTGTTTCTGTCAACCATCTGTGTGTGAAAGAGCTTTATACTGACGTTTGAACGTAAACAACCTCATTTACAGAAGTGCAAACATTCAAGAATAATGTGCTCCAATGTTAAATTAACACTTCCTGTTCATTATGAATCTGATGCTGATATTACTTTTTAAAAAATCATTATCCTAAAAATTTACTGCCCAGAAATGACAATGTCATGTTCAGATGGTAACAAACCAATTTATTAAACGTTTTTTTCATCTACAGCATCCTCTAATGCTGTTGTACATTGTACGACAGGTTGCTGCAGTAAAGAGAAGTAATTATTCAAAAGAGTAAAACTCCTCATGTTAGTTATGTCTGATTCATCCTTCACATAATTGTTTTCCCGTTTTTATTTTTCTGCAGGGTTTTTGCAGTCTAAACCCCTCTTCATATTCTGTGCCATTTTAGTCACTCTTGTATGAAAACATTCAGACCATTCAGGAGATAGTTGCTGACACTTATGGTTTTTGTAGCTTTTATACTTTTCCATATATTTAATGTGGATTACAGATGTTTTCCTCATAAAAATGCATGGAAATCTCTTCAATGCCTTCAGTAACATTGTTCTCTATCAAATCTGCTACAGTGTAGCTGCTCTAATCTCATTTGTTTTAGCTATTAGCTACTATTACTCTACTTTTGGCTACTGTTGTGCTACTTCTTGAGCTTTTAGGTTTATTTTTTTCACTCTGCTAACTTTTTGTTAGTTGTAGCTTCTAGCTAGATAATTTCTACTTTTAACATTTATCTTCCTCTTTGTTAAATTTAGCTTTTATTAATGTTTTGCTAAATTTAGCTAGCTTTGTTACTTTTAGCTACTGTTCTGCTTATCAGTGTGCATTGCCAACGCAATGCACACTATTGTGATTCATTTCCCATCCAAGTCATCTCAACTTTGCCATGCTTCTCCTCCTGCAAACTTTGTCCTAGAGCTGCCATTGTCATTTATATCTGTAAAGCCCCTGTGCCAAATGATGGCTATGCCTTTTGGTGCCTGTAAAACTTATAGTTTTTGAAATATTAATGTTTAATAAATTATAATGGCAGTCAATGGAGCCTTGTATTGGTCCAATACTGGCCCCTGCTGCATCTACACAATATGGTACTGCACCATAGTTTCATAATATTTAAACTCAGTAGTTCAGTGATTACAATATTAATATGATTGTATTTTGATGTTTTATTGTAATGTCTTAATATTGTCCAGTTTTTGTAATATATTGCAGTTTAATAACAAAGATTGCATTGGCAATGTGGCCTCTTTCTGCACACATACAAACCAACCCCTGGCACCACACCCTGCCACAGCTCCAACAGTCTAATGGTCAATGTCATGGACTTTTGTGCAGGAGATCAGAGTTCAAAACCCAGCTAAAGCAACTTTAACAAAAAATATCATCAAACTTAATATTGTCACACAATTACCTTAATTACAAACACCTGCTGATGTGACAGGCACAAGCTGGTTTAGAAAACACATTTGAACTTGGTCAAAGTTCATTCTGCAAGTCCAATGGTGCAGGCAAAGCCATGCTACAAGGCAATGCACACTTGTTTTTACATTGTAAAAACCCATGTCTAGTATTACCTATTGAACTACAATTTTGCTATGTTCAGCAAACATTCATTTTGCGGACTTTTTTATTATTTAATCAGTCCTTTTGTTACTTTTAGCTTTTATTCTATCGTTTTTTTTACAATAAACTTTTACCCATTAGTACTAGCTTTTAACTAGTGTTCTCTTCTTTAACTAGTCAATTTTAGCTGATTCAGGAGATTTCAGCACTTGACCACCACAATGCATTTCTGCAGGAAATGTGATTTCTCTTGTTTATGTTTAGCTTCAGTCCAAGCTAAAATAAATTGTGCATACAGGATATGCTGAATGAATTTTTCATTTCATGTTTTTAGAACAATTTTTAGAGAAACATTCACTCAAAAGGAATGTTAGTTTTAAATTAAGCACAATCAGTAAATTTGAGCAGCACAGAATATTCATATAGTACAATAATATAAAATGACAGAAAATATAATAAAATGAAACAAATTCTGTTACATTTTTCCAGATGTTGGGCTATAATTGTAGTAATGAGTACACACAAAGTCTGATTACAAATAACAAATCGTAGTTTTATACTACATTAAACTACAGATCTGCTATGCTAAAGTTGCTGAAACTTCAATTGCTGGGGGTTGATGTCTCCATGCTCCCATCAAATTGAACATTTTGTTTTTTACAATGAAGCTTCAAACTTTTCATGATGAATAAAAAATCTGATAAGCTATAAGGGCCTCATCAGATCTGCAGAGTTTAGCGCACTTACAATGACAATGCTAACATCTGCCCATCGGATTTCTACACTCTTGATTCTGTTCAGGGTTGCAAGGAGCTGGTGCTGACCTTCAATGCTCATAGAGCGAGAGGCAGGGTACACTCTGGACTAGTTGCCATTCCATAGAGCCACTTATAGACAAACAATCATAATGCTAAGATGCTAATCAAATGTATCCCCTTTGGTTAAGCTTATTTTACACCATCTTATGTGGGAAAGACACAAAACACAGTAGATGGTGGTTGGCACATTTAGATTCAGTCATTTGTCTCTTGAAACAATAAATCAAAAATTAACTTAGTAATGTTCAATAAAATTTATTGTACTTTTTTTGTTATATCAGTCTGGACCAACTGAGTCTATCCATGCACAACAAAAGAACCAGCTTTCTCTGTTATCCTTAAAGTACCTTGACAAGTTTCTTAAGGTGTATGTATTTTTTTTATATAATTTGCTTGATATTATAAGGAGTGTGAGTAAGATGTGTTTGGGATCTGAAAAATGATGGTTCTCGCTCAGGTGTGTAGAATTAGGAATGTAAATTACAGCTCTTGTTATATTTTGCTGATGCTGTGAATATCGTTTTCTGGTCACATGCATGCTGTTGTGTTTTAATCAATACTGATGAACATGTGAAAAGTGACAATAAGTCATCAACACACTGGTGCATTGCTATACATAACCAGATTTGTGTTGTACCACCTATTTGGATGACAATACTTTATGCTGTGCCATCACACAGCTACTTTATATAAAAGGACGATGGTGGAGTGAGCCTTTAGTCAGTGTCAGTCTGGTCCCCACTAATATCACAATGGGAAAGGTAAGTTTATTGCATGTTGCTGAAATACAGAATTAAAAAACAACCCATATAGATGCATTTTGTACATGGAGGGAGGAAATTTATTAATCACCTTTGTGGTAAAACCCCCTTTGCAGATCATATTTTACGAGGACAGAAATTTTCAGGGTCGGCACCACGAGTGCATGAGTGACTGTGCCGACCTGCACCCCTACTTCAACCGCTGCAACTCCATCCGTGTGGAGAGCGGCTGCTTCATGGTGTACGACAGACCCCACTACCTGGGCCACCAGTACTTCCTGCGCCGTGGCGAGTACTCCGACAACCAGCGCATGATTGGCATCAATGACTGCATTCGCTCCTGCCGCATGATTCCCATGGTAAGACAAGATGGAAAATGAGGACTTTTGAAAGATAAATGTGACTTTTTACTTGCTTTACTTAACTTCTTGTTAAAACATTGTATTGGTCTTCGTATTCAGAGTGCGTTTGTAAAATCCTCTTGGCGTGTTACATCAAATGTACTTTTTTGTAGCATCGTGGTTCCTACAAGATAAGACTGTACGAGCGCCCAGACATGGCCGGCCAAATGCAGGAGATCAGCGATGACTGTCCCAACGTCCAGGACCGCCTGCGGATGTCTGACATCAACTCGTGCAACGTGGTCGATGGCCACTGGCTGCTGTATGACCAGCCCAACTACAGGGGGAGGACCTACTACCTGAGACCTGGCGAGTACCGCAGATACAGCGACTGGGGTGGCGCCAGTCCAAGGATTGGCTCTCTCAGGCGAATCACCGACTTTAACTAAGAGAACTTTGTTCTTCTAACTGTCTCTAATAAACCGGCTTGGCTTAAACCATGTGTGTTTGTGTCTGTATCTAAACATCACAAAACAAGCAAGTTTTTGTCCTGTTTTTGTTTTAAGTTATTGCAACTAAAAAGTTATTTTTACAAGTTATAACACAGTTTCCTTCTAAAAAGTAATTTAAACACATAAAGTTAAGGTGGAAATAAAAAGCAATGGCTTTGTATTCTGTTAGATTTATTGTTGACTTTATTTGTAATCCTTCACAGTAAACATTGCACATTATCTCACATAGCAATTCGTTTAATAGATCCCACTCTGGGACTCATGCTTCCCCACTCGTGAAACCTCCTGTATTCACCAGGACGCATCAGGTACTGGCGTCCCCTGTAATGGGGATGCTCATAGAAGATCCAGTGGCCATCCATGACCTTGCAGGAGTGGATGTCATTGAAATGGAAGCGTTCGTACAGAGAAGGGCAGTCTTCAGTCAGCTCCATGGTCTGGCCTCCAAACTCTGTGCGCTCGTAGATGGACATTTTGTGAGAGCCTTGGTTCTGCAGAGAACATGTGATTTATCAATCTCCGTTTAACGTAAATAAAGATAAATTCAAACCAGTTGGGTATTACCGCTGGGATCATCCGGCAGGAGCGGACGCAGTCGTTGAATCCCATCCAGCGCTGGTAGTCTGGATAGTCACCCTTCCTTAAAAAGTACTGATAGCCCATGTAATTGGACCTCTCATAGACCATCCAGTCACCGCTGTCCACCCGGATGGAGTTGCACCGGTTGAAGTGGGAGTGCAGATCCGTGCATTCGCTACTGCACTCATAGTTTCGGCCCTGAAAGTTTCTGTCTTCGTAGAAAATGATCTAAAGTGAAATTAGTAATTAAAGACATTCAGTTAGTTTGTTCAAAATTGTCACAGCATACCACAAGAAAAAGTCCTCCATTTTACAAGTTTGGATCAAATTATCCACAAAAGGCCTTACCTTTCCCATCGTGCCAGTTAACTTTCGTTGCACTGTAGCTACAGACGAGGGCTCCAAGCTGCCTTTATAACCCACGGATGACCCATGTCTTTGTGATTCAGAACAATGACTGAGCTGGTCAGCTTTTTCACACAGAAAATGTGTGTGTGTGTGTGTNGAATTCACTTTCTCTCTCCGCCTCTTTCCTTCTGTAGCTGCGCGCTTCAATCACCTCCAAGCCGCCGCTTCTCCTCTGAGCTGAAGCGAGCAGCAGCCAGCTGTTCCGCTGGATGAGAGGAGGAGGGATGTGTGTGTGTGTGTGTGTGTGTGTGTGTGTGTGTGTGTGTGTGTGTGTGTGTGGTGAGGTGTGCCCTGCAGTGAGTTTCAGCTGACTTTGAGCTGCATTTATTTGATGATGCAAAACACAAAGTAGGAAAATAGGAAGAACCATGTTCATACACTTTTGAATTAAGTCATACATTTTTATTTTTGCAGAGCGTGTTTTACATTTAAATCCTTATGCAGAAACTATTATATAAAGAAGAAATGCTGCAATTACACTTGAATACCACATTTAATCAACTATATTTTAATTGTGCATTTTAATTTTAACATTCCACATATGATGCAACACTTCTAAATCTCGTCACCACCACCACATGGGCCGCTGTCTGTGTATGGCAGCCATCAGCTGCCTTTTTATAAGAGTAACAATTCACAGAATGTTATTCAGTTCATGTCAGCATGTCAACAGCTTGTGTCAGATAGACTCCAGCTTGTTCGTTTTGGCTTTTGTTTGAATAAAATCCTCCATATTGTGATATTTTCTTTGGGCTAAGCTCTAGAAAATAAGAGTGAACACAGTTTGCCATGAGCAGACTGTGTTGAAAATGATACAATTGAGCTAATGAAAACAGAGAGCATCATACACTGCGGATGTATCAGTGGGTTCCAGTTCAAAAACTAATGTATTTAACAGTAAAAACTATCAGTGCTGTCTTTTTTTCTGAATGTTTAATACTATTTGCTTTATTGTCATGCATGACAGATAATCCGATACATCCTTGTGACAGATATTTGAATACTGTGAACTGTGCTGGCAAAGTAAGTTATGAGAAATTTTACTATATTGAGTGAGTTATTATTTAAAATTCTTCTGTCAGTTATCTGTTAGGGCCAGTGAGGATACATAATCCATCCAGTGAGTCCAGGGTCCTCAGGGTCTCCACCCAGTGGGACATAACCAGAACACCTCTACAGGGAGGCATCCAGGAGGCATCCTAATCTGATGCCCTAATCACCTCAACTGGCTCCTTTCGATGCAGAGGAGCAGTGGCTCTACTCCGAGCTCCCCTCATGATGAGAGAGCTTGTTGCCCTATCTTTAAACTAAATCCGGCCACCCTATGAAGGAAGGTCCTTTTGGCCACTTGTATCCAAGATCTTGCTCTTCCATTCATGGCTCACGTCATTTACTGTTATATAACCAGGCAAGTCCCGTTGAGATCACAGATCTCTTTTTCAAGCGAGGCTTGGGCCTGAAGGCAACCTATTATACATGTTTTTGGGGGTGTGGGGGAAACCGGAGTACCCGGAGAAAACCCACGCAAGCACGAGGAGAACATGCAAACTCCAGATCCCAGGTCCAAACAGGGGATTGAACCCAGGACCTTCTTGCTGTGAGGCATCGGTGCTAATAACTGAGCCGTCGTGCTGCCAATAGATGTCATGACCATAGATGAGGGTTGAAACATAGACAGACTCAGCTCTTTCTTTACCAAGACCTATAGAAGCATTGCCCTGAGGATGAGACCCCAATCTGTCGCTCCATCTCCTCGAAAACAAAAAAGACAAAGAAAATAAGAAATCATGTACAGGTGCTGGTCATAAAATTAGAATATCATGAAAAAGTAGATTTATTTCAGTAATTCCATTTAAAAAGTGAAACTTGTATATTATATT